TTGAACAATTTGTTTGTGCTGAATCTGAAAGGATTAAGTCCGTGGCCTAAACCTAAAAAAGATGTTTCACTGAAACCAACCCAACAGAAACGAGGCTCAAACTCCACCGTACCCGATCAACAAAATCAAACGAAAACAAAACAGATTGGGAACAGAAAGAGAAACGAAAAATTTAAATCGAAAAATACAAAACAACAAAAGAATAACGTTATAATGTAGGAGGACACGTAACCGTAGCACATAGGTTCTGTTTTTAGTGTGACGTTTGTGATAAAATATATTCAGCAGAATGGACGCAAAGCATCCTTGCATAAGAGGAAAATTATTGGTGATTAAACGAACCACAATGAAAGAGTCTGAGGAGTATTATAATTTCATTAAACACGAAAGGCAGACGTTAATCGTGGATCTGAGCAAACCCAGAAAAATTTTACGTTAACATAATAAAGAGGGCACCAGGTTGAATAAATTTACCGAAGACACCAATTAGACAATCGACTAAGATCAGTCGATCATCAGATTCAGAGTCAGATAAGGACTCGGATTCGGATACTGATTCATCTATTTCATCCTCTAAATCATCTGGAAGATCGTCCACACAAGAAACCACCTAGGATAATGTTCACAAATCTGGAGAAATTCAACAAGAATGTCAATGTTTTCGACGCCAGATAACAATTCAATTCTGGATCAACCCATAACACCTGGTATTTATATAATTCGAGAACCAGAGTTCAGCTATTGAAACCCACAAGGTAATGGACAAATGGCAGTCTAAATGAAGAAAATTTAACAAAGACCAAAATGAATGTGTTGATCTAAATATAAGTGGAACCAAATTTGTGACGTGTATTCGAACCTTGACCAGACTACCGAATAATATAATTGCCAAAAAGGTCAAAGAAGAATCTCCAATGAAACCATACTACAGGGTAGTTTGTACATATTTCATAGACAGATATCATTCGCACTTTAAATTTATACTTAAATATCTGAGAGACAGTGAGTGTGCCTTACCAGTCGAAACTAGTGTCCTTAGTGAAATTCTCAAGAGAAGCTAAATTTTATGGCATATCAGAATTAATTGAGAAAATAGAGTCAATAATGGAATCTTGATCATAATATGCCATGAACCGTTAAGCTAAGATTCCATATACGCGTCATGCGGATGCGTCATAAATGGCCTTTGCAGATCCGTCTTGCGTCAAATGATTCCATATGTGCGTTAAACGTATGCGATATCTTTCTTTTGACGCACGGACTTCTAGATAGATGGATGCTTTGGTGCATAAATTTAGGCTGGAGCAAGATGAAGTTTTATTGCCAGGCTTTCTATGGAATGGTTGAAAATGAAAATGAAGAAAAAAAAAAGGAAGCATCGCTATTGGGTCCACAACATCCTACTTTTACGACGAGAACATGGAACTCTATGAGTTTTTCAGAAGTTTGTGTCGAGTATGTTGATTTCCCCATCTTCGTTGTCAAAATATGGCGGGAAAAAGACAGGGAATCCCCACAAAATACATTTGGGAGATCTCCGCGCGGAAAGGAGTCCGGATGCGTCAAAAATTGACGGACACCGCTTCCGCACATATGGAATCATACCCTCTTAAACCAACTATTTCGATTTTTAACGGATGACGAATCCGCATGACGCGTGTATGGAATCTTAGCTTTATTATTAATTCGAATTTTTTAGCTTATTCCTTGTTATTACACCATTTGTTGATAATTTTATACCATGTTATTGCATCACTTGTTGATGATTTTTGTAAATTGGAGGTGGAAGAAATTCTCAATATTATCAAAACGTATTTTCATTATTCGGAACGAATACTANA